ACATTGCATTCTTTAAATCTCTCTAACGCTGGTGTGTATTTTTGGCATGAACTGTGATTATAGCTGCACTCTGCATAACATGCCTACCTGAAAATGCTGCTAGCAGGGGCTGGAGGTCAGCAGCTTCCCAGTTGAATCTGCTCCCAAGATTAGGCAACTGCAGTGAGATTTTCCCATCATGTCGCGGAGTCATCCGAAGGAAAGTTCTCAAGTTCAGAGCAGTTGCCAGAGCTACCTGCATCCCAGAAGCATCAGAGGAACGTAGCAGGAAGTTAAATCCTTACCGATTGCATTGTAATTTAAAAATTATGCCCAAACTATTCCTCTCACAATTAGGACCACATCAGCAGAGGCAAACATCTTTTTAAAAACGTCAGAGAGCAAAAGAAAAAAAAACAGTTCCATGTTTTAGTGGGCAAGGGTTATAGTATAAAATTAAGGACATATTTAAAAATGTTCTGCTTATCTTATTAAATATATTATGGTATTATTTCAGGCTCATCTGAAACTAAGAAAGCACGGCTACAAATGATTACCCAATTAACATTTTCCCACACAACTGATTTACAAAATCTTCAAAATTAGCACGGGGGCACACTGAGCCTATTAAAAAATAGCAACCTGTATATGCCCTTGATAGGAACGCACCGCAGCTCACAAGGAATTGCTGATACTTATCAAACCCCAGGATTAAAATCAGGCCAGAGCCGAAGCGGCTGACGCTTCCGGGCAACTGATCAACCCGCTCACTGAAGCAGCCTTTTAAAGCGCACGAAGCCGCCGCTCCCGCCCGGCTGCCGGAGCAGCGCCGTTTCTGCCCACCGGGAAGCCCAAGGGGCGCAGGCCACGAGCGGGCGAAGGCCTACCTTTCCGTGCACCACGGCATGCTCGCCGTGCAGGATCACCTTGCCCGGGGCAGAAACCACCAAACTCCGCCTCAGCATTTCCTCCCTGCAGAGAGAAACGTCCGTCCGGAGAGGCGCTGGCCAGCCAGCCGCCGCCGAGGCGCCCCCCCGGCCGCTCTCAGCCCTCCCAGCCGGCCCACGAGGCGGCCTACCTGGCCCCCTCGCAGCCCCGCGACCCCCTCGGGCCGCGGCAGTCTACCCCTCCGCCCGGGAGGCCTTTCCCGCGCCCCTGGCCGCGCAAGGGATGCTGGGCCGGCGGAGAGCCCCGCACCTGTCTCCGCCGCCGTCCCAGGTGAGGCCAGTCTTCCGAAGGGGCGTGTCCGGCGCTCCGCCCCCGCCCAATCGGACGACGTGAGCGCCGGCCCCCTTGCCCCGATTGGCCACTCCCAGCAGGAGCCCTC